ATGGAACAAAACCGATGATGTCAAAACAAACTTTTTAAAAAAATATATTGTCATTCAAAAAAGACATTATATACACGATTCTTTAGAGTGTGGGAAAAAACCTGAGGGATTACAACAAGTGGGGCGGAGTGCGCGTTTATTTGTGCGTGTGTGTGTGGAGATGGGGAGGGCATATGAGGGGATCCTCAGAAATATGTCGCTTCGGCAGTGTATCTATTTTTGACATGTTACATTCCTTGCCCCCCCTCCCCCCACACACACATATTCTCACCCATCTATAAGACATTTACAGCCATCTTTGATGCTCAGGCCTTGTAAGATGGTACTGGGGCAGGCTTGTGGTCAAACACAGACATTTCTCAGGGTTCAGATGTCAGCTGTGAGTAAGACAGACAAACATTAAAAAAAAAGCAGCGGGAAGCTAAAGTTAGAGACGAGATGTTTTATGGCGTACCTTCATGACAGCAGGTACCAAAAACTATCACCTGGGACCCAGGAGCGCGATGCCAAAACCTAAACACCCATCATGGCCTTTTCTCAATGCTTCTACAGCAGTTCGTACGAGGGCTCATTTTCCAAGCGTCATTTACATTTTGAGCCTTTTCCGGCAGCACTTCGTTGAATTCAAGGATACGTGTTGTAATTGTCAAAGTTTAACATTTCGCTTCTGCTCTTTTAGGAAGGCATTACAGGTAAGCAATGCGCTTGGGGGAAACCTGCGCAAGTGACACGTGTTACCCGGAGACACTAAAGGGAAGGACTTAAGGTTGTTCCCAAACGCTAGCAAGCTTAGCCAGATAAGACAAAGAGGCTAGCTACGTGCTCCTGGTTGAATCGTTTTTTTCTTAGTCAATTACATTTTTTAATGATTAAAATAGTCAATCACGGCATAAGTGCTGTAGAAAAGCGACAATGCACGGATGACAGTTTATTGCTATTCATCGGCTGGTAAGAAACTGAGACCGCCTTACAATTTGAGGACAATGAAATCTTGCCTTAATGTTTGAGTAAAAAACTGGGGAATGCTGGGTCCGCATTGGATTTTCTTTCTTGTGTCTCCATGAAATGCCACAAATCTGTCTTGCAAAAGGTTGAAAATCTGCAAAAGCAGTAACTCCGCAGTCGGGACGACTCAAGTTTTCACCATTACGCCTTCAAGTGTGCACATTATCACAAGGTGAAAGAAAAGCTTGAGTCATTGTTGCCTAAGTGGGCGTAAGAAGATTTGATCCTAGCTTATTTGGCACTTAGAAGGAGCTTTTGCGCGGTGCGGCGCCGGAATCACGGAGGACGTCTCCGACTCGCAGAAAATGTGTCCAGAGTGCAGTAGTGACATCTGGAGAACTGCACCGTTCACCGTTGGACAACATGCAAATTGTTAGGTGGGCTTATCTTCTTTGAGCCTCTTAGGGCCCAATCAAGGAGCTACCTGCCAGAAAGCCCGAGTACAATCACACAAGGGATACCATTGTTACACTCCTGCTTACTTCATTTCAACACATTTACAGCAGTAGCCTTCAACTCGGTTTGGAAAGTGAACGGCTTTCAGTCAAAGTTCGGTCGAAGACGCACACGCGGATGTCACAACCAAAACGATCACCGAGCATCACAGCACTGCTAAAAATTTGTTTTGGGGAAGTGGCTTTGAGGACAAGCCCTTGCTTGACGTGCGTTTGTGTAATGTTTGCTTAACGATCTGGCGTCGTCAACTGCCGGGCCTGACGTACGTATGACGGCGTTCTCAATCATTTTTGCAGCCCCGTGCGAACAGTGATTTGTTTTCAGTTTTGATGGTCTTCCGCGGGCTATAAATTATGACGAAATATGCACCAATCATTCCAAGAGGTTCTCAGTTTGAACTGGTTGGTGCAGCGAGGAAGTCATCGTTTGGCAAAAGAAGGCACGCTCGGTGACTGCAATATTCTTTTATTTGAATGTTCTATATTATGAGCCCATAAATGTCAGACTAACATTGACTATAATTACAAAATGACTTTACACAGCATAGGTTGCTGATAGATTACCACGTTAGGAACACAAGTCTGTTTCAAACTGAGGATCCGAAACATCCTGCGCTTGACGGTCACGCCTTTGTCCCGTTTTCTACCTGGATCCAAAGCCACTGTAAATTTCCAACAAAAATCAGCCCAACGACATCCAGACCATTCGCTGTCTTCTTGTTCACGGAGTCCAGTGCGATTGAGTAAAAACAAGGTTATGCGGTTCGGGTTATCCAGGGTGTCGGTTCAGCTGTAAGCACGGTTCTGTTTACCAAGTGGCATTGCAGACACCATGGGAAAACCCATCAGTGATATTGTATAATCACTGCCGTGTATGCGGTCAAAACAGAGCAGGAATTTAATTTTGAATCAAACCGAAACCCGGCGCGGGCGCTCTTTGATCCAATTTATTGAATGACTCAACTCTGCTTATTTCTCTTTTGGACAGGGCGTGGAGCAAAGACACTCTCCTCAACTTGCTTTAACCAAGTTGAAACTCTCCAGTCAACAAAGCCTCAGCAGAGCCAACAAAGGATTTTGTGTGATGCGGCGTGGGACAGACGCATTATTCAGCAGCTTTATGTGGAAGGTGGCTTGAAATGAAGAAACTGGGCTTCCCACCAATGGAAACCACTCATGACATGTCACCAATTACTTTTGCCCCATCGCCAACAAAAATCAACTCGTGAAATCACAAACTGCCTCAAGGCATCCAACCCAACGGCCTCTCCAAAATGAATCATATTTTATTTTAATTTTTTCTTTTTTTGGTGAGTGCAACTCATTGCATACGGTGCGCACGCCCTGTGGAAATTAGTATTCATCTCAGGGCTACCGTGAATGAATGAGGAAACGGTGCATTATTTTTAGCTTTGCACACAGGGCACGGACAATCCACCGCGTCTTAAAGGATCATAAAAGTACGTTCAAATACAGTAATGTCGAATCACATTTGTCGTATTTTTCGTCCACATGCAGAGCCCTTGTGGCTTTCCCATTTGCTGCTGCCGCTGCTGCCAGCAAAGTAGCAATAACTGTGGGTGGGTGGAGGGCACGCTTTAGCCAAATGTGCGCACTTTGAGTTGGAATAGCAGAGCCATGAAATGGAGTTACTTGAATTGAATTGTCAAACTGGAGTCCGATCTTTCCTCCCATGGGTGTTAGTGGGATTTACATCACTTGTTAAGCTTTTCTACTTCTTTCTTGCTTGGACCTCATTCGGTTCACGTTGGACTTTGAGAGGCCTCCAGAAAGGGGAGAGCGGATGCGCGGGACGATTAATTGTCGTTTAAATGTTCCAAATGGGAAAAAAAGGGCTTTTCAAAACAGAGCGGCATATGCCCTGAACAACCCCCTAATTATTGCGATGATCTTTCGATAATACGGCTTGCAACAAAGTCACTGGGTTCACTTGATGCGTGGGCCAGCAATTGGAAAGGGAGGGAGCATCATCTGGGGCCTTGAAGAGGTGGCACGTGAAAACGTGTGTGCGCTTGTATACTTAAGAGTGGGCGAAAAGAAGAGTGTATCTTGAATTGCAATTCATGTGTTTTGTCCCCAGCCAATAATCGAATTAGTTGGCCTGTAATAGAGGTTACATGATGGTCAGTGGATGAAAATATTGATAACATGTGTGAGCATTACTCCAAATACTTTGCAGATGTAATCATGCAGTGTGACCACAACACTGAGAGACTCCCAAAAAGAGTGCTTTGTTGCTAAGTCAAGTCAAGCGAAGTCTCGATGTAGCAGTTCGCTCATTGTTTCTGGTGCAGTTTGCGGGAGCGTCGAATTGCGCTGCGTGCATCATACTGGGAGGTGTTTCGAATATTCTGCCGACCCAGAGAGAAGCTTGTGACTTTTGAACCCGCTTACGTTCCAGCGTCTTGGATCGGATGTCATTCAAAAATCAATCGGGGTGCTTGTATAGACATAACCATTTGTCTCGTCTTGAACATCAATGGTCCGAAGCTGTGAATATGAACTCTTTTTTTTTTTCTTGCTTTTAAAGTGTCCCGTAATTGGTTGGCGACCAAAAGCTCACCCGTGATGATGACCGGCACGACAATGAGAATTGACAATATGTGCCCAATGCGACCTCGCGCCGATGCTAAGTAAGTCCAACGGTGGCAAGCGGAAACTGAAGCATATACCTGTATGGCGTGACATTTCTGCGCCTGAAATGTTCAGCATTTTCAACAAAATTATGGAGGGAAAGAGAGCAGAGGCGGAGCAAAAAAAAAAAAAAATGGGAGAGGGAGAGGAGGGAAAGGAGAAGAGGGGGGGAGCAGGAAATTTCTTCCTGCGTCACTTGCTTTAATGCCTTCAGCAGCTGCCAATGAAAATGATGACCGACAGAAGTGTTATTTCTTTCCCCCCTTGCTCTCGGCATCTTGCCCTGGAAAACCACACAGCTTCAGCCGCATGGCGAACAAGTGTAATCTACGAAACACTCGTCAAAAGTCACCAATACAGCTCATCCGTGCATCTTTGGAAAGTCACA